CTTCCTCCTTCCCTCCCTTCCTCCTTCCTCCTTCCCTCCCTCCCTCTCCCTACCCCTCCACTCTCTCTCTGTCTCTCTCTTTACCCTTCCCTCTCCCTCTCCCCCTTTCTCCCTCTCTCCTTCCCTCTCCCTCTCCCCCTTTCTCCCTCTCTCCTTCCCTCTCTCACTCGGGCGGATGGGAGGGGGGGGGGGCGATGGGTGAGGGGCGGCTTAGAGGGGGGTGGGCATAGGGTGAGGGGGGAGATGGGGGGGGGGCCCTTGGGATTCAAGAAGTCCTTTTTATTGTTTCGGTTGAGGAGAGGAGTGGGCGGGAGAAATGGGGAGGGAGGGAGGGAGGGAGGGAGGGAGGGAACGAGGAAGGAAGGAAAGGAAGGCAGCAAGGGAGGGAGGGAGGGAGGGAGGGAGGGAGGGAGGGAGGGAGGGAGGGAGGGAGGGAGGGAGGAAGGAAGGGAGGGAGGAAGGGAGGGAGGGAAGGAAGGAGGGAGGGAGGAAAGAAGGAAGGAAGGAAGGAAGGAAGGAAAGGAGGGAAGGAAAGAAGAAAGGATGGAAGGACCATAATCAGTAGAACAAGAAGAAGAAGAAGAAAAAGAAGAAAACAAATATACACAACAAGAAAAAAAAATAAACACAACCAAAAAAATAAAACAAAAATAACAAAAATAACAACAACAACAACAAAAGCAAACAACAACAAACAACGAAGACCAAGTCCCAACAACATCAAAACGAAAAAAAAAAAGAAAAAAAAAAATCCCTAGCCACGAACGGCCCCGTCAGACAGCGAGCGCCCAGCGGTGTTGATTTCACTCCCTGATAGTGAGCGTCGGAGGTGGAGGCGCTCGCGATGGGGATGGTGATAGTGCGTCACCATCGTCACCGTCACCTCTACACACGGGGCTTATGGTGTCACGTTACGGGCGCGTTGTGGTGTTCACAATGGTATCGATGGCGTATAGTGATTGGGTGGCGTGCGTGAGTGCGTGCGTGCGTGAGGAGATGTGTACTTATGCGTGGATGGGTCAGGTATAGGCACGCACGCAGATAGATAGGCAGGTGGACGGATGGGTAAATAGGTGGATGGAGTGAGTGAGAGAAAAAGGGGAAAGAGAAATCAAAATAGAGAGGGAGAGAGGGAGGGAGGGAGGGAGGGAAGGAGAGAGAGAGAGAGAGAGAGAAAGAAAAAAAAGAGAAAGAGAGAGAGAGTGAGAGAGAGAGAGAGACAGAGAGCGAGAGTGAGAGAGAAGAGAGAGAGAGAGAGAGCGAGAGAGAGTGAGAGAGTGAGAGAGTGAGAGAATGAGAGAGAGAGAGAGAGAGAGAGAGAGAGAGAGAGTGAGTGAGTGAGTGAGTGAGAGAGAGAAAGAAAGAATCAGAGAATAAGAGACAGAAAAATAGAAAGAGAGAGAGAGAGAGCGAGAGAGAGGAGCATAGGAATTCCCACAGAACTCGACCCAAGAGCAACAAGAATAAAGGAGCGTGTCTGTTTGGGCGAATGGAGGAGGAGAGGAGGGGAAGAGGGAGGAGAGGAAGGGGAGGAGGGGAAGGGAGCGCAGACCCCGTTAAGTGTCGACCGAGAAACAGATGGCAAGTGTAAAGTTCCCGAGTAAGTTTGGCCTGTCTGCTCGCCCATCCCTTCGTTTCTCTCATCGTCTGTCCTTCTGTCTGTCCTTCTGTCTGTCTGTTTGTCTGTCTGTCTGTCTGTCTGCTTGTCTTTGTCTCTCTCCTTCTACGGGTTATCCGTCTCTCTTCCAATTTTTATTGTTATGTTCCTGTTCCATGTTCTCTCTCTCTCCCTACTTCCTCCTTTCCCTCACTTCCTCTCTTTCCTTCCTTTCCCTCACCTTCCTTTCTCCTTCCCTCCCTCCCTCCCTCTCTCCCTTCCTTCTCTCCCCCATCACCCCATTCCCCTCCCCCCCTCCTTCCCTCGCCTTCCCTTCCCTCCTTCCCTCTTTTCCTCCCTTCCTCCTTCCCTCCCTCTCCCCCTCCCCCCCCCATACCCAACCCCGTAAAACAAGCTGTCAGCAGTAAGCTTCCCTTAAGTGCCATGGGGACGTGTATCCCTGATATCATTATAAGCCTTATGACGCGGTCGCTGTATCCGACGCCCGCAGCGCCTTTGACCGTAAAATAAACCTTGTATGATATTTCCGATATCCGATGTAAGCGCCTGTGTGTACGTGCGTGTGTGGGGATTGGGAGGGGGGAGGGAGGGGTGTGTGGGAGGGGGTGAAGGGTGGGGTGGGGTGGGGGGTATGTGTCGGACTGTGTATGTGTACGTGTGTGTGTATTTGTGTGTGTGTGTGTGTGTGTGTGTGTGTGTGAGTGTGTGTGTGTGTGTGAATGGAAGGAAGGTAGACGGGGGGGGTGGGGACGTTGAGAAGGAGAGAGAGGTAAGGGAAAGGGAACGGAAGAGGACCCACAGAAACAGGACCGAAAGAGAAAGAAAGAGAAAGAAAAGGAGAGAGAAAAATGGAAAGAGACAGAGAAAGAGAAAGAGAAAGAGAAAGAGAAAGAGGAAGAGAACGTGAAAGAGAAAGAGAGAGCGAGAAAAACAGAAAAAGTCAGAAAAAGCGACTGATACAGCGACACTGGCATGCAAATCAGCCGAATAGACATAAACAAAATAAAACAATCACCACCAAATGCAATAAAAACAAAACAAAAACAATAAATAAACAACAAAAACAAAAAAATCACGGGAAAGCCTAACAGAAGGATCCTAAAGCCATGCAAATCAGGAGATCACGTGACATCCCTACATAAACGGGGGATAGAAAGAAGAAGAAAGGGGGAGAAGGAAGGAAAAAGAGAGGGAGGAGACACAAAAAGATGATGATAGTAATAATAATAATAATAATAACAAGAACAGCAATGAAAATAATAGCAACAATAATAGTAAGAGTAATATTAATAGCAATAGTAATAATAATAACTATAATAACTATAATAATAATAATAATAATAATAATAATAAAATCATTCCCCTCCTCTTTCCCTTCCCTCCCCTCCCCTCCCCTCCCCTCCCCTCCCCTTCCTCCCCTCCCCGCTCTCCATCACCGCCCCCCCCCACCCCCCCATCCGCAATGACCCCGAGGAGATCCAATTTTACCCTTTGACGAAAAGCGCAAAAATGCCTCGGAAGGTCGAGGTAAGCGAGATAAGGAGGAGGTGAGGAGGAGGAGGAGATAGGAGAGGTAGAGGGAATGGGATGAGTAGGGTAATGAGGGATGAAGTAAGACCACTATAATCTGCGCCGACTCTTATAATTCTTCGTCTACTCCGCCATTATTCATATTCTCCTTCTTCCTTCTTTCTTCTTCTTCCTCTCCTCAAATTCCACCTCATCTTCTCCTTCTTCTCTTACCTCTTTTCATCCTATTCTCCTTCTTAATCTCCCATTCCTCCTCTTCTCCTTGCTCCTGACTCCGGCTTCTTCTTCGTTTGTCTTTTTTTGTCTTCCGCCCCTCCCCCTTCTGTTCTTTGCCCTTATTTCGGTCTCTCCTCTCTTCGCCTTCTTCGTCGTCTTCTCTCCCCTCTTTCGCCTTCTTCCTTTTCCCTACCCTCTTTTTTCCCTTTTCTTTCTGGAGGGGAGGAGAAGGAAGGCAGAACCATTATTGGTAAAGGATAATGGAGGAATCCCATTGATCTGCGAAATAAGAAGGTGAAAGAGGGAATGAGGGAGAGGGAGAGGGAGAGGGAGAGGGAGAGAGGGAGGGAGATGGAGTGAGGGAGGGAGAGGGAATGAGGGAGGGAGAGGGAGGGAGGGAGGGAGAGGGAATGAGGGAGGGGGAGAGGGAGGGAGGGAGGGAGAGGGAATGAGGGAGGGAGGGGAGGGAGAGGGAGAGAAGGGAGGGAGGGAGAGGAAGGGAGGGAGAGGGAATGAGGGAGGGAGAGGGAGGGAGAGGGAGCGAAGGAGAAGTTAGAAGGAAGAAAAGGGTAGAGGAAAAGATGGCGGAGGGCGAGGAGAAGGAAGAAAAGACAGCTATTAGTAAGTGGATGAGGAAAAAAGGAAAAAAAAAAAGAAGAAGAAAATAAGGAAGAGAAAATTGAAGACAGAAACAGATAAATAGGGGGCAGTAGAAGTATGAGGAAAAGGGTCAACAGAGACGAGGAAAGAAATATAGGAGAGGAAAGGGGAGAATAAAGAAGAAGAGAGAAAAGGAAACAAGTGGGGAGAAGAAAGAAAAGAGGGCAGAAGAGAAGAGAAGAGGGTAAAAGAGAAGAGAGAAAAGCACAAGGAAACGGTAGGTGAAGAAAAGAAGGATGAGGAGGAGAGAAGAGGGAAATTGAGAAGAGAAGAGAGCATAGGGCAGAAGAAGGGAGGAGAGAGAGAGAGAGAGAGGGTAGAAGAGAACAAGAGATGGGGGGGGGGGGGGGATGAAATGGGCCAATAGAGAACATATGTTAACAGTCCTTCCAGCGCCATAATGTCCCTCCGGTCTGTCTCTCTCTCTTTTTTTTCCTTTTTTTTCCCTCTAAGCTTCGGTCTCCGTTATTGATACGGTGTCGCTGAGTCGTTCGGACGATCTGGTCGTTATGGGTGGTCGTTCGGGGGAAGGGGGGGAGGGGTTAGAAGGGGGAGGAGGAGGAGGAGGTAGGAGGAGGAGAGAGAGGAGGTTTTGAAAGGGTTTGGGGATGACAAGGATAAGAAGACGAGGAGAAAACAAAAGGGGTGGGAGGGAGAGAGAGATAGAGAGAGAGAGAGAGAGAAGAGAGAGAGAAGAGAGGAGAGAGAGAGACAGAGAGAGACAGAGAAAGAATGAGAGAGAGAATAGAGAGAGAGAAATAGAGAGAGAAATAGAGAGATAAATAGGAGAGAGAGAGAGAGAGAGGAGGAGAGAGAGAAGAGAGAGAGAGAGAGAGAGAGAGAGAGTATAGAAGAGAGAGAGTTCATAAGGAATCAAGAGCGAAGTTAGGTTTACAAGATTTGGTTCAAAGTGGACCTGGGCTGACTATCGAGTTGGCCTTTGACGGGATTTACGAAGGACTTGAAATGGACTTACCCTCTTCCACATGTAGATGTAGGCCACTTCCATCAGCGTCCAAGAGTCCAGGAGTCTGTCGTCGCCGTAGAGGAGCTCCACCTGAAGGGGACGGGGAAAAAAGTGGATTAATTTTCACGTTTTTTTTTCTTCGGCTTTGCTTGTATCTCGTTATATTTCTGTTCTATAGATACATATTTCTCTCTCTGTCCTCTGTCTCTGTCTCTTTCTCTCTCTCTCTCTCTCTCTCTCTCTCTCTTTCTCTCTCCGCCCTCCCTCCGTTTAGTCCTTCTCCCTCTCTTCCGCTTTATCCTTTCCCTCTTCCTCTCCTTTTCCCTCTCACTCTCTCCCATTCTCCCTCTTTCTCTCCCTCTCTCTCTCCTATTCTTCCTCCCTCTCCCTCTCTCCCCCTCTCCCTCTCCCTCTCAAGACCATCCATCTCCCTCTCCCTCTTTCTCTCCCTCTCTCTCTCCTTCTTCCTCGCCTCTCCTTCTCCCCCTCTCCATCTCCCTCTCATACCATCCATCTCCCTCTCCCTCTTTCTCTCCCTCTCGCTCTCACCATATCGTTCCTCCTCTCCATCCTTCGCCCTCTCCTCTCCACTCTCAGACCATCCATCCCTCTCCCTCTTTCTCTCCCTCTCCAAGTCTCTCCATTCTTCCTCCCTCTCCCTCGTCTCCCTCTCCCTCTCAAGAACCATCCATCGCCCCTCCCCCTCTTTCTCTCCCTCTCATCTCTCCATTCTTTCTTCCTCCTCTCCCTCTCCCTCTCTCCCTCTCCCTCTCTAAGAACCATCGCCTCCCCCTCCCCCTCTTTCTCTCCCTCTCTCTCTCCCATTCTTCCTCCCTCTCCCTCTCTCCCTCTCCCTCTCAAGACCATCCATCCCCCTCCCCCTCTTTCTCTCCCTCTCTCTCTCCCATTCTTCCTCCCTCTCCTCTCCCTCTCTCCCATCTCCCTCTCAAGACCATCATACCCCCTCTCCCTCTTTCTCTACCTCTCTCTCTGCCATTCTACTCCCTCTCCCTCCTCCATCTCCCTTCTCAAGACCATCCATCTCCCTCTCCCTCTTTCTCTCCCTCTCTCTCTCCCATTCTTCCTCCCTCTCCCTCTCCCTCTCCCTCTCAAGACCATCCATCCCCCTCTCCCTCTTTCTCTCCTCTTCTCTCTCTCTCTCTCCCATTCTTCCTCCCTCTCCCTCTCTCTCTCCCTCTCAAGACATCCATCCCCCCCTCTCCCTCTTTCTCTTCTCTCCCTCTCTCTCTCCATTCTTCGCTCCTCTCCCTCTCTCTCTCCTCTCTCCAAGACCATCCATCTCCCGTTGCCCCTCAATCCC